ACATTGAGGAGCTTTGGTTTCCAAAACTCTAGGACAAATAATTAATCCAACTGGTAATGAGGACATAATGCTGAATTCTAGAAAGAAATCACTTAACTCTTTCTATACTAGACAGCTCATTTTTCCCTTATAATAGTCTCTTTAGACCTAACAATATTTATTTGGGACAGTGTATAAATGGTCTGTTAGAGCCAGGCACACAGTGACACATACCTGCAACCCCAGAGACTCAGGAGCCTAAGGCAGAAGGACCACAAGTTCAAAGCCAGTGTCAGCAACTCAGCAAGACTATCTCAAAATAAAAAAGGGTTGAGGATATGGCTCAGTGGTAAAGTACCCCTGTGTTCAATCCCTATTAGCAGAAGAAAATAATAATAATAAAAAGTTTAGTAGAAAATAGTCTTTTCCAATGAAGTCAGATTATCGTTAAAAGTGAAAGAATCTACCAGGCATGTTGGCACATGCCTGTATTCCCAGCTACTAAGGAGGCTGAGGCAGGAGGATTACAAGTTTGAGGCCAGCCTAAGCAATTTGGTAGGATACTATCAAAATAAAAAGGGCTGGGGATATACCTCAGTGGTAGAGCACCTGTGGGTTCAATTCCTGGTACTAAAACAGTAACCAAAAAAGGTCAAAGAATCCTCCATCCCCAAAACGCATAACTTGAAAAATTAAATTCTATAGTAAAAAATGCTTTTAACTCCTGTTTTAATACAGGGACAAATTTTGTATATTTGGTAATTGGTACTTGGAAAAGTTATGTCTGTCTCCAAATTAGAACTTGTAAGCTAGCAGATAATTTAACTCTGGTTCCTTTGTTTTACTTGTTGCGATTCTGCCTGAGGAAGTCACCTTCCCTTCATGCTGCTTCCATTTCTCCTGCCTTTCATATTAGCTTATTCTTAGAATTTTGAAACGTTTCTCATCCAGGAATTTATAGCATATAAAATGTTTTTGAGAAGTTTTCTAGTCTGTATTTTCTCTAATTACCCTCAAGTCACATTTTCTAAAATTTTCATTAGTAATGAACATTGTACATTTTTTAATGCTGAAGGATCCAGCAGAACAAGTCACCTAAACTACCTATGTATTGAGGGTAGGTTAGTGACAACTGTTTCCTTAATGCAAAGGACTGATTCACATGGTTAATTCGGTTCCTCCTTGGTTCTAGCATTCTTTCTTTCTTTTGTTTTATGGTGGAGGTAAGGATTGAACCATGGACCTTATGCATGCTAGGCAAACATTCAACTACTGAGCTACCGTCCCAATCCTTGATTCTAGCTTTTTTTTTTTTTTGGTAGTTGTAGATGGACAGAATGTCTTTATTTTGAAGTGATAGAAAGTGATAAAGTGCTTGCCTAGCATGCTCAAGGCCCTGGGTTTGAACCCTAATACTGCAAAAGAAAAAAAAATTGTGTTGAATTAGCATCATGATGTCTCTCAACCTTATATGTTTTGCATACAAAATTTGAAGAGTTGCTGTTTAAGATATCTTTTGGTTAAAAAAAAAAATAGAACATTTGTTTTCCTCTTCATAAAATTAGAAATATTAGTCAGTTGCCAAATAACTATGATCTACCTATGTGGAGGATAAATGGTGTCTAAAAGACTTAATATGTCAAGTTCTAAATTTTATGACAGAGTTATGAATGCCAGAGGAGTTGTTGAGGACAATGACATGACTGAAGTGATACTAAAACTGCTATTAATTCTGTGCACTATATCTACATATTTGTTATCATTGATCCTTGCAATTGACCCTGTATGTTTGTCAATATCATTACTATTTCACAGATGAGAACATTAAGATTTAGAAAGAGTTGGGATTCAGAGCCAACTCTCTTGAGTTTGTGCTGATAAAAAGAGCTGATTTGAAAATTTGTATATATCTCATGAAGAATGTAGGACTTGTTGGGCATTAAAAATTGAGTGTTGGCATTGGAAAAGTAGCATGAGGAAATAGTCCAGTAAAGGAGCAAATTAAAAGGCAAAGAAGCAGGAATGAGCTCAATAGCTCATAAGACAGTATGGATACTTGCCTAGAGGACCAGAGCTACTGTGGGAATGAGAGTAACGTGAGGCCATATTGTGGTGGGCAAGAGGAGCTGGACAGAGGGGTAGTTGCTAGTAGTTTAAAGCCATATGAAAATTTTTTTGAGTGTTGAATCTGTGTAGCATTAAGGAAAACTGTCTGTCAAGGATATGTAGAATGAGAGAAAGACATGGGAGAACTTGAGTTACACAAGAAAGTCAACTTTCTGGTTACATTATCCTTGGGGTAGGAATTGGGGAGTGAAGGTGAAACCAGAGAAAAAGGAATGGGCACCACAGACATTTCGAAAATGAAAGAATTGGACTTGCACTTGGCATCTAAGTGAGTATTAAAAATAAGATAACAATAAAGATAACCTTCAGGTTTTGAGCTTGGGTGGCTGGGGGAAGGGGGGTTTCTACTGGCAAAAACAGAGAAGTTGAGAAGACAAGTGGTTGGAGAAAAGGTAGAGTAGGGTTTAAGTGAGGAGGCATAGGCCTATATGTCAAGGAACCAGTGGGTTACCAAAATTCTGTGGAAAGCCTATTAGGAGGACCAAAGCAAGACTGAGTATGAAAGATCTCTATAGCCAGGTGTCAGAGTCACGAAGATCTTCAGAGCATAGAGAAGTAATGTGAGGGATCAGGAGCAGAGAGATCATCATATTAGAGAATGTATGGGCTCCACTTGTATTTGAGCAGGTTGTCAACCTTCTGTCCTCCACAACACATTCTTTCTGAAAACTTTAGAATTTTATTAATTTAGATTTAGTTATCCTTCACTTTTCATTTTCTCCAGACTCACCTAGGTATGATATAAAGGATTCTCCTTTTTGAAGCCTAGTAATAGGATTAAAATAAAGGGGAACTTTTAAAAATCTGTGGTATCAGTTTATTTAATTTATGCATTTGAGAAAGCTGTTCTTTTGTTTATGCAGAAATATAAGGACTAATCCTTTTTCTGCACTGAGTATCTAAAGCTAAAAAAGGAGCACTCCCAAGAAATCAGGATAGGGGAAAAATGACTTTGAGATGCACTTTCTTAAAATAACTGGGTAAATGACCTCATGAGCCAGCTGATAGCATGGGTTTGCAAATGGATACTTTTCTATTAGTCTGCTGCCCAATGCCGCAGAGCCAAATATATATGGAGTATATGATATCATGTCCTGTAGGCAGGAGACTATCTGGGAGGGAATGAAATGGCAAGCTCCGTAGAGGAATTTACAGTATAAATACTGCCCATTAGACCTGTCTTTATTAGATAAATATTACTGATTTGGTTCATGGTTCATCCCTATTACATAACAATTTGTGTCATGTTCTTAGTAAAATAATACCTGGTATTTGTTATAAGAACATGGAATAGTTAAATAAGATCTTCAATATTAAAGGCTACCATACTCCTCTCTCATTAATACTTAAGTATTTTTGTTCATTTGTTTGTTTATTTTTTGGTTTTATAGCTATAGCCAGGTCCTTGAGTCTGACTCATTGTTCAGAATGTCCTTTCTCTTTGGTTGTGTGCTGCAGAGATAGTGCAGACATGTCTTTGGAAGATGTAGGATGTTACTTCTCTGTGCAGTGCTATAGACCACCGGGTCAAAAGGGGAGCAGTAGGTCTTGGAGGAATTCTAAGCTCATAACTTGAGGAACTGCTTTTCTTGCCAAAACTCATTATCAATTATGAAGAATATTCACAAAGCAAACCCCCCTCCTCAGCACACACCCAGAGTGTGTTCAAAGTGCAAGAAATAAAGAAGAATGGCAGGACTGGGGTTGTGGCTCAGTGGTAGAGTGCTTGCCTAGGTATATGTGAGGCACTGGGTTCAATTCTCAGCACTACATATGAATAAATAAAGGCCCATTGGCAATTTTAAAAATATTTTTTAAAACAAATAAGAAGAAGAATGGTAGTTGTCTCTGTGGTTTAAAACCTGTTTGGTCTGAATTCAATTGTAAAATAAAGTCTTAATGGGTCTAGAGGTATAGCTTGGTGGTAAAGAAATTGCCTAGAATACACAAGACCCTGTGTTCAATCAATCCCCAGGGCCTGGGTTCATTCCTCAGCACTGAAAAAACAAAATTTTTAAAAATCTGATTGATGTCCATAATGTATTTAAAAATCATCCAAGCAACTGGGTGTGGTGACACACATATATGATCCCAAGGATTCAGAGACTGAGACAGGAGAATAGCAAAAGGAGGGCTGGCCTGTACAACTTAGCAAGACCCTGTCTTAAAATAAAAAATTAAAAGGGCTGGGAATGTAGCTCAATGATAGAGCACCTCTGGGTTCAATCCCCAGTACCACAAAAACAAAAGAAAGGAAAAAAAATCATGCAAGCTTCATTGTATCTATAGATAAGACTCACAGTGGCCTAGCTTTTTAGAAGAGTTTTAGGGTATTTTCCCCCCTTTATTAAGTAGAAAGTCTGTTTATTTTCATGTGTTTTATAATCAACTACCAAACTGAATTCTCTGATATTTGTAGTAGTTTTTCATTTGATTCTCTGGAGCGATTCAGTCATTTCATCTACAAATAATGATGATTTGATCTGCTCCTCACTTCTAACTCCTCTCGTATCTAATTGCGTTAATTACCAACTCCAGAACAATGTTTAAAACAGCTTGACTTGGACATCTTCAAGTACGTGGAAACTACAGAGGGAAATTAGCTGTAGTGCCAGTAGTATCCTAGGAGGCAAAAATCAAACTTGGGGGTAGATGTGCTAGTTCTTTTAGGAACAGGTCTACAAAAAGAAAAGGGGCCCTTTACCAGCAAATCTACACTTCTCCATCACCCATGAAACGTAGTAACCTGTGGAAAACAGGGTGTTCTCAGCACTAACATTAGAAATTATTTGGGACCTTGGAGGAAGGTTTCATAATCTTAGAATTTGTTAGGGGACATGGACATACCTGAGATGTCTTTCATGAATACTAATGATTACACTCTTCTCTTTCAGGCCCAGCTTCGGGCATTTATCCCAGAGATGCTCAAGTACTCCACAGGTCGGGGAAAGCCAGGCTGGGGGAAAGAAAGCTGCAAGCCTATCTGGTGGCCTGAAGATATCCCATGGGCAAATGTCCGGAGTGACGTCCGCACAGAAGAGCAAAAGCAGAGGGTGAGCATTCCTCAGCCTGAGTTACCCATTGCTTTTCCACTCTGAATTAATCACCTCAAATTTTGTCATTACTATTTCTAAAACGTCTAAAAACATTTGTGTAATAGACCTATCCCTCCCAAGAAGTTCACTGGTCACTGATTTTATAACATTGCTCATTTGTCATTTCTTCCCTATAAAAAGTCCAGGATGGGTCCATGAATTTATATTTTGTCTTCTTAGTTGCCTTTTGAAGCAGCTTTAATTTTATGAGGTGCTTGGGAAAACCCAAGAAACTTAAAGTGAAAATATTAATCACTTGAAGACATAGAAATATTAGTAAGAATCACTGTTGAAAAATACAAGTATGAATTAGAGAGAGATGAACTTTTCCAAGTGAGCCTACTAATAACAAAACTTTGAGAAGAAAGACTAAACTAGATAATAGATAACATCCCTATTTTTCTGCATTTTTTTAAATTTAACTTTGAAGTTTACTGAGAATCTTAATATATGATTCTTGACTAGAATAATGTTTCTTTGTCAGAAGTTTAATAAGAGTTTGGCCTTAGTTTGGAATAGGGTATAAAACCCAAAAGCTAAACTAGACTTTCACCAGGAAGGAAATCATTGGGAAACCTCCTTTAATATTTGGTGCTCAGTTTGCTTATTCCAGAATCAGTCTGTGGGAAATAATCCTAAAACAGTTTACTCTGCATAAGATTTGATTTGGGGCTGGGGATGTGGCTCAAGAGGTAGCGCGCTCGCCTGGCATGTGTGCGGCCCGGGTTCAATCCTCAGCACCACATACAAACAAAGATGTTGTGTCCGCCGAAAACAAAAATAAATAAATAAATATTTAAAAAAAAAAAAGATTTGATTTGGTTTGAAACATAAGCAGCTGCATTATTGGGTTTAGATACTATGGTACTTTGTGGTTTAATGTGCTTTTCTGGTCTTTTGGTGACAGGTTTCATGGACACAAGCACTAAGGACCATAGTTAAAAACTGTTACAAACAGCATGGGCGGGAGGATCTTTTATATGCTTTTGAAGATCAACAAACACAGGCTACTACCACACACAGTATAGCCCATCTTGTACCATCACAGACTGTAGTGCAGACCTTTAGCAACCCTGACGGCACTGTCTCACTCATCCAGGTGAGTAAACCTAATGGTTACCAGAGAGGTGGGTCACTGGACACCTTCCCCAGACTGCAGGAAGTTTTCTTGTGCAAACTCTTGTATAAGCTTCATACACCTCCCCTAGATCTCTCTCCTGGCTAAAATTGACTTTTAAACAGTATTTTAAATTGTTTTCATTTTACTCAGTTCAGAGCTATGAGTAGCTTTCCTGGACATTTCCAAAATAAAACCCTTGAAAGTGGCTTCTTTTTTACTGTTTCACTATCAGTGGCCAGGGAATATTCCTTCTGAATTACCTCTTCTGTGGCAAACCCAATTTATTGACAGGAGGGGAACTTCTAAATTTCAGGTTGGGATGAGAGTAAGAAACCAGTTGACTAGCTCTGGCCACTGATTAGACATGTAATAGCTCTTCTAATACTGATCTATTTGGTTGAAATAAATTTCTGAAACTCATATGAGTCTCTGAGAAATAGTTTAGTAGCTGATTTTACATCACAATTACATATGAATCATTATCTGCTGAATTTGGGGTTCAATGCATCTTAGTTCCTGAGGAGAGACAAGGCAGAGGGTCTAATCACTGATATCAGTTCCCGTGTTTTTCCTTAGGTTGGTACAGGGGCAACAGTGGCCACATTGGCTGATGCTTCAGAACTGCCAACCACAGTCACTGTTGCCCAAGTGAATTATTCTGCTGTGGCTGATGGAGAGGTAAGAAAGAGGATTCTGTCTATATCTGTTTAAATACCTAGATGACTAGGTGAGGGAGAGCTGAGGATTCAGAAGATGAAGAAGTAGCCTCTATGTCTATAACATTGTATTAAGTGTTTTTAACATCATGCTTTGACAATTTGGGGGGGTATCTTATGCTGTGTTTTTTTTTTTTTTTTTTTTAGTTGTAGTTGGACACAAAACCCTTATTTTATTTATTTATGTTTATGTGGTGCTGAGGATCCAACCCAGGGCCTCGTATGCGCTAAGCGAGCGCTCTACCATTGAGCCACAACCCCAGCCCTTATACTGTGTATTTTAATTGTAACAATTAAAATCCACAGGGGCTAAGGATATGACTCAGTGTTGACCGCTTGCCTGTAGGGTGCGTGAAGTCCTGGGTTCAATCCACAGCACCTCCAAAAAAAAAAAGTGAAAATTCATGGATCATTATGAACTGAACCTAGCTGTTAGAAACGTGTAATTTTGCATTTACAATATAGCATTTTATATAATACACAGTAAAAGAGATTGTCTCTTTAATACTTTCATGAGAAGGACCATTTGGGAGCCTGGTATGCCAAGAGTATGCAATAATCTATAGTTATGAAGAAATTAAAATTCTGTAGCTTTAAGCAAAATAAAATTAATTAGAGACAGGTACAAATTACATAGATATTTAGAATTGACTAAAGAAAGAATTTCAAAAAATATGAACATTGCTTATGGACATACATGTTGATTTTAAAATATACACTAACTGAGTGTGGTATTCCATTCCTGTAGTCACAGCTACTTGGGAAGCTGAGGCAGGAGGATTACTTGAACTTATGAGTTCCAGACCAACTTAGGCAACATGGTGAGAACCCTATCTCAAAAGACAAAAACAAAACAAAACAAATTGAGCTGTACCTCAGTGGTAGAGCACTTGTCTAGCATCTGTAAGGCCCTGAGTTTAATCCCTAATACTGAAAATAATAATAATAATAATAATAATAATAATAAATTAAATAAATAATTTTATGCTGATGGCATATGTAAAAATGCAAATGGTTTTAAGAATTTATTCCATTGTGTGATGGGACCAACAGTTGGTATTGGTGATATTAACAGCCATAGGTGTCAAAAAAATCAAAATAGAATATCCAGTGATAATGATCTATGATTCTGCTGGAAGAAGGAAAAAACACCAACGTTCAAAGACATTAGAGACATGAATTTTAAATGGAACTATCAGTACATATATTCATTTTGAAATTGCACAACTCATTTTAGTGAGTTTTTAATGAATGTCAGTTTAACTGAAATAGGGATAAGTTGGATAATAAGTAGAAAAATGTAAATAAATGAGTATATTCTCCATCCAGACACTCAGCAAACACTTTTGGCACCCTGTGCCAGGTGCAGGACAGTAAAGACTGTCCTTGCTGGTAAGGAGCACTAGGCAGGTGATAGGAAAAATCCATGCAGAACCATGGCAGTGAGCTAGATCAGGTGAGCCCAGGATGCTATGGAACTCAGAGGAGAGAGCCTAACTTTGAACCATAGGCTGATGGGTTTTCTCAGGAAATACTTCCTGGGGGGAGTAGAACCTGAGCTCAGACTAGGAGCATAACTAGAAAACAAAAGACTCAAGGATGGGAGTTGGGTTCATGTTGAAGGCAGCAACACATTCTATGCACTGCATTGTGAAAGCATGAAGAAGCCACAATTCAAAGGGCCCCAGTGCAGTGGATCTTTCAGGCATAGAAACTCATAGGCCTTCTCTGAATATCTTCTGTCTTCAAGCTTGTAGCCCTTTCTTTAGGTCATAGTGACATCTAGGCATAGACTATCATACACTGGCTCCCCCCAACAGATGGGAGCAGAGACAACAAGGGTTTAAGCAAAGTACTAAGACTCTAGGATAGGAAGTTCCAAAGAGATCGTAGCACAAAAGCTAATTTATTCCTCACCTGCCATATTTCTGATTAGAAAACTCCCATTTTCTCTCCACATTTTGCTGTCATCCCTGAAAATCTTGTGCCATATAATTTAACTTCTTTAAATTATGTTGTCTATGGCTACATCCTAAAACTATTTTACCACAATGCACTTGTAACTGAATGAGTCTATGCTGAATTGCTGCCACTGGAGAATGGAGATTTGGAAGTTGCCCCAGACCAAGCTCAGATAAGAGCAGCAGCAATAGGATCACTAAAAGAGAGGGCTGGATCAGGACAAAGGAAGACTTGTGTAAGGGCCATAGGTGACAGTGCTGCCAGCTTCAACAGCTATTTTTTTAAAAATATCTTTATTTTTATTTATTTATTTTTATGTGGTGCTGAGGATCAAACCCAGGGCCTCTCGTGTTCGAGGCAAGCGTTCTACCACTGAGCTACAACCCCAACCCTCAGCAGCTATTTTGATTGGAATCACGAACCATCTAAGAATTGACAATGTAGCTTGCCATCGAAAGTGGCATTATTGGTAACAATGCTCCTTAGAGAAATGAGATCAAAGTGATCCTACCTGGGGAAGCAAGAGTTTTTTAAGTTTCTGAGTAGGCAGCTTTGCAGCTCTAGGATATCTCTTCCTTTGTAGTGAGGAGCCATGAAGGCTTGCTGGCACAGCCATCTGCCCAAGAGAACCAAGAACACACACTAAGGAGCTAAGGAATGTCTCCTCTGGGAGGCTTTTGAGAAACATGCTGAGAAGCATTGTCCTAATCTTAGGATGTAATTTTATGATTCACAGGACCAAACCAGGTTATTTTAAACGTTTCTCCTAGAGCTATGGCACTTTCTATGGATCTAGCAATGTGAAGCAGGGACAACAAGAACCCTTTGAAGCACAGCTAACATCCTAAGGTCTAGGAGTTCAAGGAGGTTTTAGGCCTGAACTGATTTATCACCACCACCCCCATATCTTTGCCCTGCTCTTTTTTGGTTGGGAGGGTGTGTGTGATAATTAATCAACCAGTATTTATTGAGCCAAATGAATTAAAGTAACTAGATACTGATATCCAGAACAAGAAGTCTTTCCATAGAAGGTATGTTACTAAAATCAGTGGTTCTTAACCCAGAACCAGAAGGGACATTTTGACAGTATCTGGAGACATATCTGATTGTCATGACTGGTGAGGATACTGTTGGTAGAGTGCTTGCCTTGTTTGCACAAGGCCCTGGGTTCATCCCCAGCACCACACACAGACATACACACACACACTCACCAAAAAAAAAAAAAAAAAAAGATATTCCACAGCATTGTTGGTAATAGCAAAAGACTAGAACCTGAATGTCCATTAAAAAATGGCTGCTATGTCAGTCATGGTATTTCTGTGTAGTACAGTGCCCTGCAACCATTATTATGAATTCTGAATCATGAATGAATGAGGAAGTTTTCTGTGTTCTAAAGTGGAATCATTTCAGAGACGTATTGTTTGTGGGGGAAAAAAACAAGGTATAAAGGGTATGTAAAATAATCTGTCATTTTCATTTTTTAAAAAGAAGGAATAGGGGCTGGGCTTGGTGGCACACTCCTGTAATCCCAGTGACTTGGGAGGCCGGGGCAGGAGGATGAAGAGTTCAAAGCCCAGCCTCAGCAACTTAGCGAGACCCTGCCTTTAAAACAAAACATAAAAAGGGTTATGGATATGGCATAGTGATTAAGCACTCCTGGGTACAACCCCTGTATGTATGTATGTATGTATGTATAGATAAATAAACAAATAACCAAGAAGGAATAAGGGCTAGGGACGTAGCTCAGCACAGGAAGAAGGAAATAGATGTGTGTATATGAGAGAGAATGTGCTTGCATATAAAGAGAATACCTCTGCAAAGATACATAGGAAAACAAACAACAGTAATCAATGCCTAGAGTACTGGCATTTCCTCTGACACAGTTTGAATTTATCAAACACAGCATGATGTTTTGAAGTATATATACATTATGGGGTATAGTGAGAACACTTGAAATCTCTCTTAACAGTTTTCCAGAATTCAGTACAATGCTTTAAATAAAAATTTTGGTAACTACATTTATTGTCTATTTTTAAAAATTACCTTAATTTTTGAATAGATAATATTGATATGGTCCAAATTTTTAAAACAATATTTAAAAGTAAGCAGTGGAAAGTCTTGCTTTCTGTCACATATTCAACCCTGAGGAAGTATTCTCAGTGTGATCCTCCACATTGAGAATATGTATGTTTTCTAGAATTTCTTTATGCAAACTTCAAAAGAATTTAAATATTTATTCTGAAACCCCCCTTTTTATACAAAAGACAACATACTAAAAAACTCTGTACATAGTAGGTCCTTTGCTTTAAAAGTATATATTTGGCTTGAAAATAGCAATTTATTATAAAAATTACTTTTTAAACTCATAACTTTTTCATGGCTTTAATTTTTGATTGTCTTGTCCTTTCTGCCTCAGGTGGAACAAAATTGGGCCACATTGCAGGGAGGAGAAATGACCATCCAGACGACGCAAGCATCAGAGGCAACACAGGCGGTAGCGTCGTTGGCAGAGGCCGCAGTGGCAGCTTCACAGGAAATGCAACAGGGAGCTACTGTCACCATGGCACTCAACAGGTGGAGGCAGGGGTAGGGGAATAAGTGGGAATGGCAGGACTTTGTCTTTAAAGAGAAGCGCTATACCTCAGTTTGTCAGAATTGGCAGTTGGGCCTAACACTCTCAGCTCATAAGATACCATGGGTTGATTTCTAATAAGCCCTCACCAAAAACATTGAACTTTTTTTCTTCCGGAATGTTTAGGAAGGATACTATGGAATGAGACCCTAGTGAGAGGTGGTTTCTTCCTGAATTGTGTTGTTCCTTTCTTGGTTCTTTCTACTGGTTGTTGAAAGGAAAGATTATCCCTATATTAGTCTTCTTTTTCATTCTTGACAGAATTTTAATTTCAACAGATCCAGACATTTTAATTAATGGTTAAGCATATGGTCTTAGAGCCAAACTACATGGGTTTGAAGCCCAGCCCTGTCACCTACTAGCTGGTTGTCCTAGGAAAGTTTAATTGAACTCTCAGTGCCCAGGCTTTTCTCTTCTGTAAAATGAGGGTAATAACTGTACTTATGATAGTGTTATGAGAGAAGTTACTGCAAGTGAAATTCTCGGATGAGCGCCTGGCATGTAGTAAGGGCTGCAACTGTTGTCACTGTGGGCAGCTGCTATTAGTCTTACATAACCATTTAACTCTGCCATGCCAGCACTCTGCTAGATAAGGCTGAAAATAGGGTGATCCAGCACAGAATCTTTGCTCTTGACAAAATCATACTCTTATTGAAGAAACTGATTTCACTAAAACAATCACCTAGCCAATAGTATTAGACAGTAGTTCACTATTGAATTGGGTAGTACAGACTATGCACATTGTAAAATTCAGAGGGGGAGTCACCTCCCCAAAAATATAAAATCAGTCAAAATTTAGATTGGTTGGAACAGATGGAGAGCCTTGATGGGTTTGAATAAAAACAGTGCATTGTGTGAGGCTGTTCATGGTGGTAGTTGAGAAGAGGTCACGTAGATTTGATCCAGATCCCAGCTCCTCCACTTACTAGCCATAAGCTCTTGAGAAATTTCACCCCTGAGCCTTGTTTCCTTCTCATTGTTAAGAGGATAATATTCATCAAATAGATTCAATGATTCAATGATATGATATATATAAAACTTTCATCAGGGTGTCCAACTCATTAGCACTTAGGAATTAATACCTATTGACATTTAAAATGTATTTTAAGATTTGTTTAGAATTGTTTATGGTGATTAGAAGATCAGTTAGGAAGAGGCAGTCTAAGTGTGCCTTATTAAATCTGGAAAACTAAAATAGTAAGAATGGGACTGCATTGAATTGCAATGCAGTAATGGCCAGGTGAATCAGGAATAAGACTGAAATACACACACACACACACACACACACATATTCATATTCTCTCTCTCTCTCTCTCTCTCTCTCTCTCTCTCCCTCCCCCTGTCTCCCCCTCTCTCTCTCTCTCTCCCTCTCCCCCCACTCTCTCAGTGTTACCCGTGAGTCTCTCAGTGACCTGGAATTGAAGCTTTTTTCTCAGCCCATTGAACCATGTCACTCTTCAGGAACATGAAAGTCTTCTTTGGTTCCTTAGACATTGGCTCAGTCTTACTCCTTCCTTTAAAAGAGTTCACCCAGATAAACTTCCTGAAAGGCACAGCCAGAGTGAGAACCATCCTCCCCAGTAACCCTTCACTGCAACTTCTGGTCTAACAGGCAGCATTAAAGACCAGCAAAACCTGAGCCTTCCACTCACACCCTGGATATTCCAGTGAAGTGTAGCGTCCTGGGAACTCTGTATTCATAGTGGAAAATCTGAGGCATGTTCTGGCTCCCTTTGCTGTGAGGACTAGAGCTTATTTCTAAAGGCTAAAGGGGGGGGTAATGGTATCCCCTGAGGGCTTGTTAACAAACTAGGATGCAGCTGAGGTGGCTACAATGTTTACTCCAAAGGAAGGAGAATGTGGTTCACTGTGGCATGAAGGAGGAGTAAAGAGATGTTGAAATCTGTTTGCAATCAGATAGTCCAATGCCCCAGTGAGTCTAGGGGGCTGCAGGGGTGAAGAAACCAAACCTGGCAGCAAACACTATAACCCATGGTCTAATGTCTTAGGATGGTTGGATTTAAGGCAGGCTCTTGGTGATTGTTTCTCTGTGGATGAGACACAGTGGAATCCTTTAGGCTCTGCACTTGTAGCCTCTCCATAGTTTGTTGTTGGAAGTCATCTTAGTGAAAAAACACACAGAGAAATCTGGTCTTTGTTCCTATGGTTACAAAGTGATTTCATAATCTGCCCCCTTCCAGCCTGTCTCAGTTTCAGGTGCAGATGGAATAAGCATGGTTCTCTAATAACCACCTGCACCTCTGCTGCACTGTAAACAGCAGATGCGGGCACAGAGTTAGAAGGGGGAGGCAAGCTGCATGTAATGGCAGGTGGCAGACTAAGAAGGCAGAAGGACTCCTTCATCCATTAGAGGGGAAGGGGATCAGGACAGAGGCAGGACAGACCTGTTTTTCAACCATGTGTTGAAATAGTTTTGTGTAGCAAGTCAGAACAAGGGCCTAGGGCTCCACAGCTGCAGCCCACCCTGGCTTCATCACAATCCAAAGGGGCTGTGGAAAAATTATCGCGAAAACTGAAGACTAAGTTAATTTAAAATTTCAAAATAAAGAATAAAATAGCACTTTTAGGAAGGAGGTAGGGAGGGAATCAAGGTAAACAAATGAAAAGCAAAACATCACAGCCCAAACAACCAGAGAAGAAAGAAGTGATATCTTTTAATTATTGCCATACGGTGGTAAATTTGAAGTTTCATTACTTCGCATAGCTATCCGAGACTTATGAGTTGCGTCCGCCTTCCTCTTCCTCCTCTTCCTGTTCCCCTTCCACTTCTTTTTGTGTATGGGTGTGCACACTGGGGATTGAACCCAGAAGCATTCTACCTCTAAGCTCCATCCTTCCAGCCGTTTCTAAAATACTATGGGTTGGGGACGGTACTGGGAATTGAACTCAGGGGCACTCAACCACTGAGCCATCCTCAGCCCTATTTTGTATTTTATTTAGAGGCAAGGTCTCATTGAATTGCTTAGCGCCTTGATTTTGCTAAGGCTGACTTTGAACTCCTGTCTCAGCCTCCTGAACTGCTGGGATTACAGACATGCACCACTGCACCTGGCTCTAAAATATTGTTTTGAAACGGGGTCTAACTAAGTTGCCCAGACTGACCTCAAACTTGTGGTACTCCTTCCTCTTCAATCTCCTGAGTAGCAGGGATTACAGATGTGTACCACCACACCTGATTTATAATCCCCCTTAAACAGGACTTCCTGCATAGTCAATTCTTGTGTATGACCAATTTAGCCCTTGCACGTAGAGATTCATGATATGGATTCATAGACCAGCCTACATTACCCCAGTAGACATGATGTTAATACTGAGAGAGTATTTATTGTGTGTCTACTGTGCATAGTGCTGAGACTCAGGGTTGTAGGGAAACAGATGTTTAGATCACTTTCACTTCTCAAGGAATTTAGAACTTGCCTTTCTTTAGCTATAGAGATGTGACTTAATAAAAAAATGAACTATATTTTTAAATAAAAATTTACTCTTTTATTTTGGATTGATACATAAAAATTGTACTTATCTATGGGGTACTCTATGATATTTTAATACATGTGTACACTCTTTGTTAAGATGAAAATATTGACTTAAAGTTAGAGACATTATTAAAATATGGCTTTACCATATAGACTGATAGTAATCCATAAAATGGAATGGATAGTATAGATCACAAATTCTTTCTGGAAACAGTGGGCAAAGACTACATAACTGCTTTTCTTTCCTGTAGATAAAGGTTGGAAACTTAAAAAGATGATGGAGCCAGGCCTGATGGCACACACCTGTGATTCCAGTCACTTTGGAGGCCGAGGCAGGAGGATTGCAAGTTCAAGTCCAGCCTTGGCAACTTAGTGAGACCTTGTCTCGAAATAAAAGGGCTGAAGATATAGCTCAGAGTTAGAGTGCTGGCCTGGCCCTGGGTTCAATCCCAGTGCCTAGGGATAAAAAAAAAGAAAGAAAGAAAGAAAATGACTTTTGTCTAAAACCTGTAAAGTGGTAGCTTAAGGAAATATTAATCTCTGTTCACCTTTAAGTAAAGGTAATCTTTTTCTCCTACTTATGTTTGATCATTTCCCATTAGATCTAGTATAAATGAGTAGAACCAATATGGAAATGATAGGCCTGCTAACCACGAGAAGTCATTGCTGTCTTTATGTCCTATGCTTTTTCTCTGGCTCCTGACCAGGGGAATAACTAACTTCACCCACCTGTCAGTGCATCACCCCCATCAGACCACTCATCCTTAGTCATCACAAATTGTTTTTGGTTATTGCTGGGTTTTTATTTTTTTTTTATATTTGTTTGATTGTTTTGTTGCTGGTTTTAAATCTTCTTCTTCCATACCATATTTTAGAAAGAATTAAAGAAAATAACTTCAAATACATAGAGCTTTAGGAAGACTAAAGGGCATGCTTAGATACAGACATGCCGAGTCAGGCCTGGGAGCTGCCTCCCTTCACTGCCCCTGCCTCGCCCTGCAGCATGTGTCTAGGTTGGATACTTTCCACTTTCCATAAAGTCTCAGGTCAGAATTGTTTTTGTTTTTGCAGTACTAGGAATTAAACCCAGGGCTAAGCTCCATCCCTAGCCCTGTTTTGTTTTGTTTTATTTTGAGACAGGATCTCATTAAGTTGATGAGGCTGGCCTCGAATTTGCCATCCTCCATGCCTCAGCCTCCAGAGTACCTGGGATTATAGGTATGGGCCACTGTATCCAGTCTGAATGTAAATACTTTTATCATTAAGGCATGATAACTAAGTAATATGAAATTGACTAGTAATATTATTTATTGATTAAAGTTTCTTTAAAAAAATATTTAGGACTGGGAATGTATCTCAGTTGGTAGAGTGCTTCCCTTGCATGTACAAGGCCCTGGATTCAATTCCCAGTACCTCAAAACAAAACATTTTTTAAAACTATGTGAGGGCTGGGGGTATAGCTCAGTGGTAGCATGTTTGCCTTAGCATATGCAAGACCTTAGGTTCAATCCCCACTACTGGTGGGGGGAGAGGAGGTCTGGCTGGTCATGGTGGTACTGGTCTGTAATCCCAGCTACTAGGATGGCTGAATCAGGAGGATCACAAGTTTGAGACCAGCCTGGGCAACTTAATGAGACCTTGTTGCAAAATTTGAAAAACTAAAAAGGACTAGAGATATAGCTCAGTGGTGGAGTTCCCCTGAGTTCAATCCCCAATACAATACAATAAATAAATAACTGTATTGCAGTATGATCCTGATTATCTGATTAACATTTAAGATTAGAAAAAATAATTGCCATCTGAGATTTAAACTTTTCTACTTACTAAAATGTTCCCAATTTTTGCATATGTATTGCTTTATTGTCAGAAAAAAAATTAACTCTTAAATAGAGACATAAAAATTAAAAAGGAAGGGCTGGAGTTGTAACTCATGATAGAGCACTTGCCTAGCATGTGTGAGGCACTGGATTTGATCCTCAGCACTACATAAAGATAAATAAATAAACTATTGTGTCAATCTACAACTAAAAATATTTTTAAAAAGAAAAAAGAAAGGCCTTTCTTTTTTTTTTAAAATTTTTAGTTGTAAGTTAGTAAGGAGAGAATTTTCTACTTAGAATTTTTTCTGCCCACTGAGTTTCTTTTACTGCTCCCTAGAATCCTGAAGTAACCAAGAAGTCCTTCTAAGGGGAATTACTATGTCTGTTACCTTATTTCTCTGCTGAGTTTCTTAGGATAAAGAGAGACAGTGAATTTTGTGCTTTGCACAGTCATAACATGTTTGCACCAACAAAACCCTGTCCACTCACACCCCCCACCTAGAGCCTGTGACTGCAAGATGCTTGCCTCTATGACAGGAAAGCCTATAACTTCAGAGTAAAGCTGAGTCCTCTGGTTTATTTGGGAATCAAACCAGGTCTTGGCCCACCTCTGCAAAACTAAATAATACCACCTTTTCTGCTACATGCCCACTTCTGATATTCCCTCAGTAACTGCAAATTGATACTTTCTATTTTACTATGAAGAATACTGAATTTATGTTTTTTTCACATTTTAACATCTCTGATATTTGTGAGGATTTTTTTAATAATTTTATTTTTTTTATTCTGATTTGTTATATATGATAGCAGAATGCACTACAATTCATATTACACATAGAGCACATTTTTTCATATCTCTGGTTGTATACAAAGTATGTTCACACCATTCATGTCTTCATACATGTACTTAGGGAAATGATGTCCATCTCATTCCCCATCTTTTTTACGCCCCTTACCTCCCTTTCGCCCTGTCTAGAGTTCATCTAATCTTCACATGCTTCCCCTCCCAACCCCACTATGAATCAGCCTCCTTATATCAGAGAAAACATTCAGCATTTGGTTTTTTGGGATTGGCTAACTTCACTTAGCATTATCTTCTCTAGCTCCATCTACATACCTGCAAATGCCATTAACATCTCTGATATTTGGTTAACAAATTTTAATCTTATAATTTCCCCCAATTTTTCTTTTATTCTTTACTGGCACATAAAATAATAGTACATCTTATAGTTTGTAGCATCATAGAATCAAGAAAAGTGTATACTTATGCTCATAGTTAAAGCATACAACAAGGAAATGAAAGAAAAATGAGAAATAGGATATAAACTGCTAAAATACTGCTCCATCTAAACAGATGGTTAATGTCTTTCTATTCTACACAGGGTTTGCTTTACAATGAAAGGGAGTTTATTATTTCCTTGTATTTACAGAGGCAAGAAACTTAGGCATATAGTGATAGTTTTAAGCCTTCATTTTTAGCCCTATCTATATATACAGAGAGGCAAAAAGAAGAGTTGGACTTTTCAGGGTATCAGTCACCATTTATTGTATTAAAAAACATGAAGAGAGGGGCTGGGATTGTGGTTCAGCGGTAGAGCGTTCGCCTAGCACGTGCGAAGCCCTGGGTTCGATCCTCCTCAGCACCACATAAAAATAAAATAAAGATATTATGTCCAACTACAACTAAAAAAAAAAAAAAAAGCTGGGGCTGTAGCTCCGTGGCAGAGCACTTGCTTAGCATGCGTGGGGCATTGGGTTTGATCCTCAGCACCACATAAAAATAAACAAATAAAATAAAGGTATTCTGTCCATACACAACTACAAAAAAAATTAAAAAATTAAAAAAAAAGGCATGGAGAGCCAGGTGCAGTGGCACAACTAGGGAGGCTAAGGCAGGAGGATCACAAGTTCAAAGCCAGCCTCAGCAACTTAGTGAGGCCCTAGGTAACAGCAAGACTCTCAAAATAAAAAAGAAAAAGAACTTGGGATGTGGCTCTGGTTAAATGTCCCTGGGTTCAATCCCTGGTACCAAAAAATAAATAAAAGGCATGGAAAACTGGGTGCAGTGGCATACCTCTGTAATCCCAGTGACTCAAGAGGCTGAGGCGGGAGGATTAAAGGTTCAAATTCAGCCTCAGCAATTTAATGAGACCCTATCTCCAAGTAAAAACTAACCAGAGCTAGGGATGTTGCTCAGTGGTTAAGCGCCCCTGAGTTCAATCCCCAGTACCTAATAATAATAATAATAATAATAATAATAATAAATAAGTGAAATGAATGGATATAGCCAGGCAGTATAGCACACACCTGTAATGCAGCTACCCCTGAGGTTGAGGCAGAAGGATTGCAAGTTCAAGGCCAGCCTTAGTGAGACTCATCTCAAAAATAAAAAGGCTGGAGATACAGCTCACTGGTAGAGCACTTGCCTACCTTGTGCAAGGCCCTGGCTTCAATTTTCAGCTTTAAAAAAAAAAAAGTATAGATATAAACTAAATTGTTTTTATTTAGTTAAATAGCAAGTTCAGGTTGCTGATTCTTCATATTATCTTCCATTCTTGGCTTAAAAGATAGTGTCAGTTGGTCAGCCCTGTGTTACCATAAAGAGGAAGAGAAAACCTGTGATTGCCAATCAAAATGGCTTTTGCATTGTGAATATGGATCACACCTTCCATTATAGCTTTCAAGCACTCAGTTGATATTGATAAGAAGAGACACATAATGAACATCTTCTGTCCTCAAAAACTCATTACCTGGGTTAAAAGAAAATTTCAAATTAGTTTTATAAATATATGGCTTGAGATTTTTCTAGCTTTTTATTATCATTTTAGAATTACTCCTGGCTCTGTCTGTTGCTCTGACTGGCGTCAAAGATTTTCTAGTAGGCTTGCAGCCATGAAGTCAGTAGAAAGATCCACAGTTTGTCTTGCTGCGGTGCTGTACCTTTATCTACTTGCATATCCCTCTCTCCTGTTTCTGTACCCACAGTGAAGCTGCCGCTCATGCTGTCGCCACCCTGGCTGAAGCCACCTTACAAGGCGGGGGACAGATCGTCCTGTCTGGGGAAACCGCAGCAGCCGTTGGAGCACTTACTGGAGTCCAAGATGCTAATGGTAAGAGAGCATAAATATTTTATTGAATTTCTTCCCTGTTTCCACTTAAATCTTCGTGACATGACTGATAACAAACCCTTCAGAAGGAGGTTGAGCTTGGTTTAATTTTTTCTTTATGGGTAGGTATTCAATGCCTAGGAAAATTCTGGGAGCTCCTAATTCCTTTACAAGTAAGAGACTTGGGATTTCCTGAAGGAAAACACCATGGTAATGGCTACCTATTTGAATTGTGTATTTAAAAGTGACTATTTTGCTGTGACAAGACTTGCTGGGAGGCACTTTAGAATTTGCTGTGGGGTACATTTTGTCCTTTACTCTCCTGTTGAGTAAAGGACAGTGTACTTTACTGCAGCAGAGACTCTCCCGTGGGCAGGTGGAATGTTCTGACTCCCTCCAGAAAGGCGCCATCATTTCACCTGCCCCAGGGTCAGGCAGCAGGCTGTGACAAAGGCATTTTTCTGGTTGGTACTATGGGTTCTGCTTCCTGTTATATGTGGCTTCACTAAGGACATCTGGATTTAGCCAGTAACATGCCACCACCCTGCCCTTCTTTCCCAGCTCTTTGTCTTACTGGATATTGGTGAATATCCTGAATAAACAAAAAGGACAAAGTTCATAGAACTATGGTGGCAAAAACTTACAACTCCGATCCAGCTCTTTGGATCCACTTCAGCAGGCTCTGGGAGTCAGTGGCCAAGACTTGGGCTGCCCAGAGAAGTGCCTCAGAAGTCTGGATCAAAGAGGAGGACCAGCCCCAATCTGTGAGACTCTGTGCTTGTTTCTTAAACTTTAAAAGTATATAATTAAGCAGGAAATTAAGTACTCTTTGGTTTGGGGAAAATTGCTGCTTTACATCCTGGAAATGAAATAGATAAATAATATACTTTTATTTAGGCAGAAAGTTCCTTAACGTCATTAGAGGCCGACAGAGAAGTTCCTGGCCCCTTTTTGATGGTGGGTTCCTAAGATCTGAATACCCCATTAGTTGTTGGGAAAGTCTTTGAAGAAAGACAATATATCTTCCTTTGGAACTGGGAAGATATAAAGTACTCTGTCTCCCTATAGAAGAAAAACATAGGAAGTACAGGGCATTTATGGCTTCTGAGAATCATTTTGGGAAGAAAATCCAATACTACAACTACAACTTTCTTTTTCCAGGGGCCTAGGTACTTTCTTGAACTGACCTAAATGGGGCTGATCTTAGCCACAATACTGCAAGATAAAGTGTTCAGAATGAAATAGACCTTAGATGGAATTAAGGGAACATTCCTCTGTAGCTAGAATCCTACACCTATATTCTTGCTTTTTTTGTACCTCATCTGAGTCCTAATCTACCCTGAATAAAGGTAGGACAACTAGCTGTGTGCATCCTTCTGAAGTTGTTGCTATTCACAATAGAACTGTTAAAAACACTTCCCTGTGTGGGCTTGGTAAGAGACTTTGTTACCCATTTAATGGACTTGACCCGTCTGGGAGACAACAGACTGCTTTATAGTTCTGGCTGATCCCCAGCCTCACCCTTTCAGATGTATAAATTCATGGTTAAGTCTAAGGACCCTCTGGGGTTCCAGCCAAGTACACCTGTTCAACCATACAATGAGATTGAACCACACTTATTACCATTGATTACTGGAAGCTGCCTCTTTTCAGTAGCATTGGGTTATGTGAATCTGTAGGTGTTGATTTCGTGTTGTTGCCTGAATTTATAAGAGAAAATTCTGGTCTACATGCTAAATGCCAGTAGAAATTCCATTTAGGCATGGTAGCACATGCCTGAAGTCCCAGCTACTCAGGAGGCAACAGAGTGAGACCCCCTCAACCCCCCAAAAAAGGCCAGTAGTTCCCCTGAAGCAGGCTATACTGTTTGTGACTGCCAGCACTCGCCGAACTTGAACCTTAAGAGTTGGACTTATCCCTTTCTCAACATAGCTTCTCTGAATTAAATCAGATTGCTACCTCCTGCTTTACCCCAGCAGTGTCAGGCAAAGGCCAATAATTTTATAAACCCGTGTGAATCCAGAGAATTAATACAATGTTGGAGATAAGCCAGATAATTCTGATAACTCCTTCTGTCTTCTAACATTTTCACCCAGAGTGCCACAGTATTTTCTCTAGAACTAGAATCGTTTTTTCTACTTAATTTGTTATCTGGCTATCATTTTTTTCATATTGTGTCCTGTTGCCCATCTTTGTCACTTCTGTAATGACAAACTTATGAAATCTGTCCATAAGGTTTTTTTCTTATTAGGAAGAATGAGATGATGAAAGAACAAGGTACTAATTGTAGACATAGAACTTAGAAAAAGACATGCCTAGAAAAAATACACCACAGATTCTAGAGTATGGTTAAATAACAAACTAATTAGCAGATGACTCTTAAGAGCAATATGAGTATGATTTGGACCTGAAGCAGAAAGAGTTTGTGGGATACAACTAGGAGCAATGGAGGACAAGTGCATGGGGAGCTTGATAGAGTCCCATAACCAGAGAATGGTGGGTGAGGGTATGAAATTGTATCCTATAGTGTAGCATTAAAAGAATATGACTCTTAGCATGGGAGAGGGCCTGGGTTTGATCCCCAGTACCACAAAAATAAAATAACTCATGGCAGATGTTTAAACTTCTGGTACCAAGGCAAACCTGACAAAAACTATACTCTGTATCTGAAGACACCCTTTTTTCTGGACACCAGCCTCACTCCAACACTGAAGAAACTACTTAACTCAAGCACTAACATTACTTCATTTCATTTACGTTCTTTGTCTTTTTCAATAGAGATAAATAAGTCTTTTGGTGTCTTAGGATGGCGTTTCTAGGCTAGGTTTGGTTCAGTTTAAAGATTTTCACAGGTGTCTTTTCTTTGAGATAGAGATCAAATTGCCAGAGACTAGGAAAGACCCCTGTATGGGTTCCTTCCTTTACTTCTTTATTTTTTTAACATAATTTCCTCCATATTTTTCTTCCCTTAACATGCCTTAATATAAGAGGTTAGACTCTTTAGCCTGTTCATCCCCTTTCACTCTACCATCCTCTCTTCAGGGACTCACAACCAACAAATATAGGTGTTCACTGTGGGGGCCTTTCACCACTCACCCAGACTGGGCCACCCACTGTGAGCATGCCTCAGAGAACAGGCCTGTAGACCTATTCTCCTTCTTATTGCAGCAAAAATAAATGTAAGAATTATATATGTACTTGGTCACTTCAGAAAGCCACTCTTATGTCTGAGATCTTATTGCAGATTCATCCAACTATCTTTTCTTCCCAAAAATGAGATGGGGCAAGGGGCTGGGGATGTAGCTCAGTGGTAAAGTGCTTGCCTCGCATGTGTGAGGCACTGGGTTTGATCCTCAGCATCACATAAAAATAAAGAAAGATACTGTGTGTTCACTTACAACTAAATAAATATTTAAAAAAAAAAACAGAGATTAGAATCAACATTATTAAAAAAAAAAATGGGGTAAAAGATGACCAAAGTTCATAAGTAATCAAGTCTCTTACCAAAGCTGCTAAAAAAGTCTCAGCATTTTCTAAAGTAGCTGATATTCTTTCTTATGATGCTATAAGAAAAAAGAAGGGACATGGACAGCATTTGCTTTGGACTTTTTATTTTTTGGTATTGATTATAAAAATCATTCATAATTTCACCTGACAGAATGCTTTTGTTTTGTTTTGTTGGTACTGGAGATTGAACTCGGGCACTCAACCACTGAGCCATCTCTCCAGCCCTATTTAGAGACAGGGTCTCACTGAGTTGCTTAGTGCCTGGCCATTGCTGAGGCTGGCTTTGATCTCTCTGGCCTTTAGCCTCAGCCTCTGTGCTACTGGGATTACAGGCAAGCACCACTGTACCTGGCTTGTTTTATTCTTAATTTTTATTTATTTGTTTATTTATTTTTTAGTTGTAGTTGGACACAATACCTTTATTTTATTTATTTATTTTTATGTGGTGCTGAGGCAATTTATATTGGAAAAACTCTTTACATGTTAAGGTTGTAACTTTTATGGTGCATGTTACAAATGAGTTTTCCCAGATGTGTGTTTGTGTGTGTATGTGTGTGTGTGTGTGTGTGTGTTGTTGTTGTTGTGGATGAACCTATTTTTAAATTTGTTTATTTATATGCAGTGCTGACCCAGTGCTTCACACATTCTAGGCAACTGCTGAGCCACAACCCTAGCCCCTCCCAGTTTATTTTTATTTTACTTGTTACTTTCATATTATTTCCCTAATTATTTGTCTTTTGCTTGTATATTATGTTACATCTTTCCTACCCTCAAAATTAGATAACTAATTATAATTTCTATCAGTTCTAGGGTGGTCTTAATTTTTATTTTGAATACTATAAAATACCTGCAATTTCTTTTTTTTTTTTTTTTAATTTTTTATTGTTGGCTGTTCAAAACATTACATAGTTCTTGATATATCATATTTCACACTTTGATTCAAGTGGGTTATGAGCTCCCATTTTTACCCCATATACAGATTGCAGAATTACATCAGTTACACATCCATTGATTTACATATTGCCATACTAGTGTCTGTTGTGTTCTGCTGCCTTTCCTATCCTCTACTATCCCCCCTCCCCTCCCCTCCCCTCTTCTCTCTCTGCCCCCTCTACTGGCATTCATTTGTCCCCCTTGTATTATTTTTCCCTTTCCCCTCACTTCCTCTTGTATGTAATTTTGTATAACTCTGAGGGTCTCCTTCCATTTCCATGCAATTTCCCTTCTCTCTCCCTTTCCCTCCCACCTCTCATCCCTGTTTAATGTTAATCTTCTTCTCATGCTCTTCGACCCTACTCTGTTCTTAGTTACTCTCCTTATATCAAAGAAGACATTTGGCATTTGTTTTTTAGGGATTGGCTAGCTTCACTTAGCATAATCTGCTCTAATGCCATCCATTTCCCTGTAAATTCTATGATTTTGTCATTTTTTAATGCAGAGTAATACTCCATTGTGTATAAATGCCACATTTTTTTTATCCATTCATCTATTGAAGG